ATTTTAGCCCCAAAGGGGCTGCGCTGACAAGCTTTTTTACACACGATGATAGAGAAAAAAATGCTCTTTCTTTCTATGCTATTTGATCATACTTCACATAATATAATGGTAATAAATTTCCAGTAAGATTCGTTTCGTTATCATTCGTGATCGTTATACTGGTTTATAGCGGGTAAGACAGGTTAATTTTCCATCCCTTAATACATTGCATCAATGATCCAAACATGCCGTAAGATGCAGCATGAAAAGCTGTACAATTTACATAAGAGCACTTATTCCATAATTGTACTTTTTGTTTTCAAAGTGGACAAAACTTTGAGAGATCAGATTTTGAGCATTGCAAAAATTGATCGCATAGAAATGTGCTCTTTTTGAAAGCAATTACAATCAGTTTTACTGTGAAGATTGTACAGCTTTTCACGCTGCATCTTGTGTGTGTTTTACTTTTCTTCTGATAAAGCATTTTCGTAATGGAACGATGACATAACAAAAAATGAATTCGTTATGTATCAAAAAAGTTATCTTTTCCCCATGATGGACGCTTGATCGCTAAAAGTTTGTCCATTCTAAACACATAAAATGCAACTATAAAATACGTAGTCATATGTAGATTGTAGAGCTTTTCACGCTGCATCTTTTAGTACATTCTGCTTCTTAATAGAACACATAAAAAAATTGAAAACTGCAGTGCAAACTTGTAACGATCACGAATGATAACGAAACGAATCTTACTGGAAATTTATTACCATTATATTATGTAAAGTATGATCAAATAGCATAGAAAGAAAGAGCATTTTATTCTCTATCATCCTGTGTAAAAAGAAACTTTTATCAAGCTTACTAAGTGGTACTAAAATGTCGTTGTCACTACTTTTGGATACCCCTAAGTAATAGTTAAAAGACACGATGAATAATGATATATACGTCAATCCTGCTACCACCATTGAACACACCATATGAAAGAATTGGCAATGAAAGTAATTATGGACAGAAGCAGGAGAGAATCAAAAATCAGTGAAATATCGAGTTGAGGATGGTATTTTATATTTGACGTTAAGCTAAGCAAAGGGTACCGGTGTGAAGACACCAGTTTCCATTGTGTATGTCATAATTTTGACAGGTATCTTGAGACTTCATAACGCCGTATTTTTCGCCTTGGATATGACGCACAGCTATACGAGTAAAAATTCACGCGGATAGTTATAATTCACAGAGTTATAGCTCGGAGACATAAGTGTAACTGTGTGAAAAGTTGTAACCAGGGCTGTCCCGACCCCGGGGGGGGGGGGGGGAGGGGGTGTTGGGGGTGTAACATCCCCTCATTCTCAAAATTTTTCGCTCTTTTTCGGTCAAATTCAAAAAATTTCTTCTGTTGTGTTAGCAAAAATAATGGTACACCCCCCCTCCCAAATTCTCAAAACTTGACCTCTACCACCCAAAAAATTTATTACATCCCCAATGTTGGTTGATTCGGGGCAGCCCTGATTGTAACCTAAGTAAATTTGGGCTCCTCTGTTCAAACCACTTATAACTCTCATAGTTTCGAACACATCACTGGTCTACATTCGGAAATCTCTCACTAAAATCATTTACCTGAGCAAGTTTGATTAGTTCCACAGGCACCACTCCAACAATGATCAGGGGAACTACAAGCTCGACCATTGCATCGTTTCACGCAAGAACCATCACAGTCAATGCCACTTTCTCCACCGTTTCGAACACCATCGTTGCAAGTAGCCGCTATAATCGCCATTAGATATAAGACACATCTTTTTCTAGTTTCCTACCTCGACAAGTTTGCCCCACACAAACCTTGCTTTTACAGTCAGTGTCTAATGTGCAGAACTGTGAGTCACATCGCAGAGGACAAACCCAACCACA